TTGCATTAAACTTACTTTTTTGCCAGCCCATCCTCACTAATGTTGCACCACCTAAAGCATTCAGGCACTACTCTCCCCCCAAGCCAGCCAAGCATATCAAGTGTGCCTGCAACACTCACAGCCTAATGAACAATGCACAAAAACAAAAGTAACAGCAAGACTCCTATTATCTGATCTTCCGTAAAACACAAAAACTGCCTTCTCTGGTACAGAGGAAGTGCCAGTAAGCCTGCAGGTGTGAGCCAGTTAAAAGAAAAGGCTTTGGCTAAATAGATTCTTTGACTGCCAGGGATTAGAGTCATGGCACCACTGGTAACACACATCTTTTCCTTTAATTTACAAAATTTTCTCACGAGTTTCCAAGAGTTCACCCCATCAGGGGCTTTCTGAGGCCATTGAAATGTCTTAAGTTTTAATTAAGTTGGAGTTGTCAGAAGAAAGCTTTTTTGGCACAGAGTCAGGGTAATTAATTACTGCTATCTTTGTTTCTTTCAGAAAAAAGAACTCTACTGACTTGTTGGGTTACTTATACAGCCTACATTTTCTATCCTGCAGTCCTTATTCACCTCCAAGCAAGGCTTGATTAAGCAGTTTACCAATTACTTCCATCAATCTGATTTACAAATCCTATGGGTAATCTTAACTTCAGAAGCTTTTCTCTCTGCTGATTTGAGGTACAGTAGTAATGAAAGCAGCATTACTGTTAGAACCACAAAGCGTTTTAAAATTCTAGATTTTTCATCTTAAATGGTACTTGAATCACATTCCTGATTTTATCATTTCATACCCATCCTCTTATGCGCTTGTAGCAGGATTGTCAGTTATTAGCAGACACAAGCCACGCTGCATAAAACTAAGCAGAATAAATGTAATTTCCTTGCTATCTTGCAATTGCAGGGTAAAAGTTCATGTTTTCTATCAGTCGCATAAATACCTGCAAACAAGCTAGCATTCAAATCACAGGACATGGTATCTGCATTTGATAAAAGTAGAAACTTTATTGCTAGGTGCCATTTACCAAAAAATGAAAAAGTCTAGAATAATTAACTAAAATCGTTACCCTGTAATAATTATTCACTGGCCTAAGTAAAGGCTAATTTGTAGGCTTCGTTTCTACCAGATGCATTCACATCATAAAATAGCCAACACCTTAACTGGCACTAATTTGCTGCTTCATCAGAGTCTGAGATATGAGGAATGCACTGTCTCCCTCATTCCTAGATATCATGGCCTCAAAGCTCAGTGTGAAATGTAATATTATATAGCAATAAGCTATATATCCATTTCATACATAAAGTGAAGATTTTGATTTCCAAGCCTCTCCATTCTTTGCCTCTGGCGATTACTAACTTCACATGAATACACAATTAACATATATTCCTCTAAAACAAATACAGCACCGTTTGATAGCCATATATTTTCAGATACCTGGTAAATTCTTGGGTTTACAAAAAGTATTTTGCATAAATACCGTTACCATTATTAGAAAGCTTGATAACTATATATCTTTCTAAATACACTGGTTGTTCATTTAAATGAAGTTTGTTTTATCAAAATCCTCAAATTCTGTGAAGCCTGCAAAAGGCCTATGTTAAACTACGTATTATGTACTGGTTTTAATAAAATCATTGGCAAAATAATGTTTTTTCAGAAACCCTGACTTGGATTTCTGATTTATGGAGTATACCATTTTGAGCTACTCAGCTCAGCAAGTGGTTGCTCAGAGACTGCAAGACTTGAAATGTCTGTGGGGTACTATAAATTATTTTGATCATCCCTTGGGTATTTACTTAATTTCTCACCCATTTACTGTACTTTGCATAAAATGGCAGAAGTGAGATAGAAACTATTAAAAAGCTAGGAACACTACCAAGAACGTTAACCAGCTCTGCGAAGTTAAGATACCTGCAAAAGAGGCAATCCGCTGTTAAAGAAACTACTTTGCTGCTATGCATTATGTTTCTGTCTGTTACCTATGTTTCCTAAATCTAACATCAAAAATAACAATCCCATAGAAATTACGGCTGCTATTTATTTCATAAAATACTGACAACTGGTACTACAAAGAGATTACAAAACTGTGTTGAAACTTCTTACAAAATAGCCATCTCTTTTTTTGTGGCATTTTATTTGTAACAATTTTATTGTGGCACTGATTGCCAAAGCATCACGGAATTGCATCAGTCCTTCTACTGTTTTCATTTTTTTTACCTTAGTTAAAAGCATCTCTAACACCAAAAGCAATCCAGCCAATTTATTTATGTCTACAGGATGAATCTATATAGGGATGCATAGCTGTCATCATATCCCTGAATTCTTTCTTTCCACATGCAATCCCACTGTCACCAACTCGGCCAGTGTATACCTGCAACTTGCTGCTGAAGTGCTCTTGAAGTGGGAGACTGGGAGAACCAAACCTCAGGGACATGGTCTCCCACCCTTATGTTTTTCAGGCTGCAGCCAGCACCAGTCTGAATTATGGTACCTGCACCTACAGCACTGGGAATGGACACTAGAACTTTGGGCTGTTTTCTCCCTCCTCTAGCAAGGACTTTACCCAGCTTTTTCAGAACTCCAGCTTACTTTTATCATTTTTCTTCTGTATTTGAACAATATCTTTAAAATCCATCTCTCTGTTTAAATAAATACAGAAATAAATACACTGATAAGAAAAGACCTACCAGGCTGGCAATGTCAAAAAGCCCTTTAAGAGGCTTACATCTTTTATTCTA